AATTTAGATTTTTGCCTGTGTTGAGAATCCCAAACATTCTGAATTTTTCCAGTAAGAAATTAAGCTTTCCTCTCGTTATCAGCAAAGAAATGTGGGCACGTCTTGTTTGGAAAAGCAGAAAATGAACAGATTTTTGTCCCTGAGGAGCACAGAAAGTCTGAACATACAATATTGTATTCGTTTAGGTTTTGTTCTGGATTTTAGGTGTTTGATCTGATACAGAAACATGTTAAGAAATGCTAGTGTGAGGCTGTGTAGAGAGAACATGTTGAATCTGAACGTTCACAGAATGATTGCATGAGCCTTGAACATGCACCAATTCACAGTTCCCTGATTTTAAATGACTGTCCTTGGTTAGCTATGAGGATCGCTATTGTCGCAGCTGTATATAGAGCCTCAGTGCTGCTGCTCATTGTGTGTCGGACATAATGGCTTCACACTCAAACACACTGTGCAGGGTTCACAATTTACATAATGCTTTCACCTTGGCATTTCTATCCTTTTGTATATGTGATACAAAAGACCCTCTTATAACACACCAAACACACACAAACACACACTCATACACACACACACACAAATACTGTAGCACAGGTAAGGTCATGCAGCCTTTTAAGCCCTTATGCTATAGAAAGACTAATAGAGCTATTCTGGTCTGGAGATCCACACTTGACTTTTCATTTAGTTTCCATGTCTTCATTTGTGAAAAGACCAATCTTTGACATTCAGTGCAGTAACTACCATAAGTGACCTTAAAAAGGATGCAAAGTTTCAGGTCTGCCAGCCGCACAAGTCACTCCTCAACAGGGAAAGTAAGCACACTTCGTTTAAAAAAAAAAAAAAAAAAAAGCCACATGGTCACATCACCAGGTATCTTCTTAAAGGTCAAACGAGGTGCAACATGACAGCCCACACATACGCCTATTCAGTATTCATAGTCTCTGAGCACATCACTCTCAGTAATGAACACAGCAGAAATTAGAGCACTTCTGAAACAATATTAACAGGTTTTAAAGCTCTCAGTCTCTGATCCATTCTGGAGAAGTATATCTGTAAAACACTTTTTTTTTGGCAATGTGGAGCCTTGTTAATAGTTAAAGGATAGGCCCACATTTTACAAGTCTATTATAATCCTTAAAACTCCAGTCCTGGTTTGCAATTCAAATCCAGCGTGGGAATAGCAGACTCTGCCACTGGCTATGAAAAGTGCTATACAGAGATGTAATTACAGAAACTTAAGGCTTTTAACTTTAAATCAATACCCAAATGATCATATGCATGGAGTTATTTGCTGCCATAATTGTTCCTACTGTCCATAGTGGCTGCGAGGAGATTCCTTCCCAACACAATATCAATGTGAGTTGGATGAACTGAATGGACATCTTCCAGAGTTACAGACTTTTTGGTATGAATTCTGTTTGTGTTTCCACAGTGTTTCCTCACAGAGCTGCAGAGAGAAAACAAAGACAGAATCTGTACTAAAATCTGCAGAGCTGATATGATTTGTTGATGAACTGATTAGCTGCGTGACAGGAATATATTAGCGAATATGAAGGTGTGTTACGCCTTGTTGAATGGAGGTGCCATCTGGTGAGGAATGCGCTCTTTCACCTGTGCCTGCAGCAGCAGTTACACACCTACCTTTTGTATTTTGTTTGGTTTAACTGGTTTATTTATAGCTGTTATCTATTGACAGCTATTATAATGGATAACCGATAAATCATTTTAAGGTGGAGTGTGCAAAGGCTGTTGATATTTAAACTCCACACCCAAACTTATATACCATAAAGCCTCAATTAAAGGCCTAGTTGCCAAGCAGTTAATTTTTATCGCAGTTCTTTGGATCTATAAAATCAGGTTGTTGGCTACCCACTTGAGCCAACATTAGATAGCTGTTTAGATCGCACATACAAATATTATTATTTTGTCAGTATAGAGATGCTACATAATGTTAGCTCGGTTAGATTCCATTAGTGGTGACTCCCTACCTCTAAAGTGGTCATAGAGTCAGATTATGTGTCCATTCCCTGATTACCTGGTATGTTATTTATATTTCTTTAGTCTGTAAGGGTTCTCAGATCAAAAGAATCAAAAAGGTTTTATCATAAAAAGTAACGTAAGTTATGAATATTGTTTTAACAAGATAAAGTAGTGTTGGGCCACAGCAAAGGGCCACAGGCTGGATTCGAACCCGGGCCGCTGCGGCAACAGCCTTGTATATGGGGCGCCTGCTCTACCACTAAGCCACGGACGCCCCAGTGGTTCCAGCTTCTAAAATGCTGCTTTTCTCTGTTTTGTAGAATTAAAAACTGAATATCATTTAGTTTTGGACAAAAAAAGAAGCAATGTAAGGACAGCAACTTCACCTCTGGGGAATGGTGATGAGCATTTTTCACTATTTTCTAAAATTTAATGTACCAATCAATCATACAAACAGATTCCTCTATGGTGTTAATAATCATTAGTTACAGCTGGAGACTGTGCCTTTGGAAGACATCCATATATCTTATCTAACTGAACTGCTGAAGCCTCATAATACCTTAAAAAAGAATGTTTTGACAAAAAAAGAACTGTGGATTTTGTCACTCATCACAAACTTTGGAATCATGTCATGGCAACACCTCACTCCCAATTTGTCAAACCCGGCAACGTCATCAGGGGCCCGTGTGCTCCAAACTATGAGGCTCTAGGCAGCCCTCTATAGTCAGTTTTGGATGCTCAAGGGTGGCATGTCGATTTCCACTCGTTACATGCATTATTTAATCATCCTTTTCATTTTCCATAACTACTTATCCTGTAAGGGGTCGTGGGTGGCTGGAGCCTATCCCAGCTGACATTGGGTGAGAGACGGGGTACACCCTGGACAGGCTGCCAGAATTTAGAGTCACCAATTAACCTGCATGTATTTGGACTGTGAGAGAAAGCCAGAGTACCCCCCAGAAAACCCATGCTGACACAGGGAGAACATGCAAGCTCTGCACAGAAGGGCTCCTCCACCCAGGGGTTCGAATTCCCCACACTGGGATCGACCAGGAACCCTCTTGCTGTGAGGCAACAATGCTAACCACTGCATCACTGTGCCGCGTTAGGCATCCTTTGTTTTTTGTTTTTTTTAAGATATTTTTTGGGCCATTTTGCCTTTAATCGACAGGACAGCTAAGTGTGAAAGGGGGAGAGAGAGAGGGAGTGACATGCAACAAAGGGCCACAGGCTGGAGTTGAACCTGGGCCGCTGCGGCAACAGCCTTGTACATGGGGCGCCTGCTCTATCCACTAAGCCACCGATGCCCCAGCGTTAGGCATCTTTTTTTTTTTTCAAAATTAACATTCATGTGCACAGGAAACATAGGTTTCATCACCAAAACTACTTTAGGTTTAGGCGACAAAACTACTTAGTTAGGTTTAGAAAAAAGATTATGGCTTGGATTAAAATAAGTACGTTTGTTATGTAACGTAAGTAAAGTAACAACATGTGTCACATGATGTTAACTACGTAACATAGTAGTAACCAGTCAGTTTCATCCATTACATGAATAGCAGCCTCCTCAGTGAAAGTCCTGTGTTTGTTTGATCTATCCACCACCTGCCCTCTGACCCTACTCGGACTTCCTTGCTCTTTATACTACACCGCAAATGACTTTACATTGGAGTTATCTGAAAGCCCCTTGCCTCTCTTATAAATGCCAAAGGGTGCCTTGTGCATCAGTATCAGACTCCGATGGCCACTGACCAAGACGACACCCTTGGAATGAGAAAGAGTAGGAGGAATTACTGCTTTTAATTTTCAGACAGACTTGAAAAAAGTGAACCTATCGTTTTAATGCTTTTCCTGCCTGATCATACTGACAGTCATTTATCATCAGGGATATCTATTACTGAAGCCATCAGCTTCATTTTTACTGTCATGCCACGTTATTCCAAACGGCAGTTTTGCATTTACATATACTGCATTATCTACAAAGAGAGCCGCGGAGAAAAACTGATTTTTAGGAACTCATAACTATTCTTCCACTGTGCCTTCATAATACTTCACTCAGCCAAACTTCGGAAACACTTTCAAGTTCACCCCGCCATTCATGGCGCCGAATCTCAGCGAGCTTGTGTGAAAGATTAAGAGCAGAGGGGAATCATAATAAAGGTGACAGAGGAGATCTCATGGGACACCTCGCCTCCAGGCACACGGCAGACAGATCCGACTTTATAATGCAGTTAAATTAATTCCTCACAAGGCATTTTCACGCCGAATGCCTGGGCCATAAATAATCCTGCCTCTAGTGTGGTCCCAATTCAGAGGACAGGAGTACAGCACCGAAAAAAAAAATTAAAATAAACCACTGTTCATCCAAAGATAATGAGGAGACGCATCAGCTTAATGTCACAAGGGTGCAGAGGTGGAAATATGATTAAGATTTGTTCGTTTATTGGATAATTATGAGCAATCTGGCCAATCATATCTGATCAGTATGATTTTAATCAAAGCTTTGCTCTGTGTCTGAAGCAAAAGATACATTTTGAAAAAGACAGAAACACTAAATATAGCTCAGCGGAGTCCTTAGTGTACACACAAATCTGTGTAGTATCTGAGCATCTTTTCAGCACTCAGATGTATTGTATGCATTCAGCCACTGTCTCCTTATTTGGCAAGTTCTAAGTGAGGCAAACAAAATGCCACGAGTGTTTGTGCTGGTAGATAAATGCCACACTTCCCACCATTACTCACACTGGCAGCCTCAAATAAGCTGTAGCGTGCTGAAGTAAGGGGACAGGCTGTCTTAATGCTCATTTGAAATTCAAAGTGGTTTTCATAAATTATTCAATTTCCAAAAAAAAAAAAAAAAAAATCCACCCAGTGCATCTATTAACATGAGAATCAATAGTTTTACTTCTGAGACAGATACAAATACAGTAAAGCAGCATGAGGGACGAAGGGTGCTTACAGTGAGTACATGTGTGTGACTGTATTTACCTGTGTGTGTGGGTGTGCATATGTCTGTTACTCACCCCAACGTCGTCATGGTGACAATAGTGTACCAGAAGGAGGCTGGGATGCTGGTGAACTTGCTGGAGCTGGAGCCCTTCTCTGCGTAGAACATGACCGTGGCGAAGATGATGATGGCCATGGTGAGTGAGAAGAGGAGAAAGCCCAGCTCTGAAGCACAACTCTTGAGTGTATAACCCAGGATCCGCAGGCCCTGCGAGTGGCGGGAGAACTTGAAGATGCGGAACACTCGAAACACGCGCAGTGTCACGAAGGCGCCGCTCACGTCCTCGTTGTTGGTCATCACCAGGCCGATGTAGTACGGCAAGATGGCCACCACGTCAATGATGCTCATCACCGAGCGCATGAAACGGTAGCGGCTAGGCGCGGCAAACAGGCGCAATAGGTACTCCACTGTGAATATCATGACGCAGGCGGTGTCCATGCAGAAGAACGCCACAGTGTAGCGTTCACCACACGGCATGTCTTTCTGGTTGGCAGTGGAACCACAGGGCACCGTCTCCACCACATTAGTGATGACCGAGATGGCGATGAAGAATCCAGTGACATAGTAGAAGACCAGGGCCATGGTGGAGGTGTGGGGGTTCTCAAAGGCCCGCCACATGGTCTCCCTGAAGTTCATGTTGGGCAGCTTCATGTCCTTGTTCTCCTCCTGATCATCCTGCAGTCGCTCTATATTCTCCCTCTTCCTGTCCTTGTACTCTTCATAGCAGCAGTCGCCGATGATCTCGGGTATGATGCCGAAGAAGGTCAACTCTTCATCGTAGGCTGAGATGCACTCGTGGCGGGGGTAGTGGAGCTTCCCTGTCCGGTAGAAGTTGAGGATGCTTCTGAAGGCATCAGGGTCCCGGTCAAAGAAGTACTCCTTGATTTCCTCATTGTAAAAGAAGTCTTTTTCAGAGCTGCCCAGCAGGGTGTCGGGGTAGCGGTCCAGAGTGGTTCTCCAGGTCTGAAAGCGACGGCCGCTAACATTGAGGATGATCAGTTCGTCCTGTCTCTTACTGTTGTCCTTCGGGGCAACAGGCATGGGGCAGTTGGCGACGGGCATCCAGCCGATGGCTGCTGCCCTGGCAAAAGGGAGCCACGCTGCTACTCCTGCCGCCATCGTGAAGTCTTCAAAGTAGTCCTCCTCACCTTCAGAGCCGACTCTCCACAAAATCAACTGACATCTGAGGGACAAGAGACGGACACATAAAGCTGAAAACAGCAGCACACTAAATAATCAACCACATTATCAGTGTTTGACATCACAGCACTGAAAAAGCTCATGACATTTTGAGCTCCAAATGAGTTTTCCTACTTATTAAATCTCCAGTCACTCACCCCTGCTTTCAGTCCAAGTCCACCCAAAATGTCATCCAGATTTGACGGAGAAAGCTTAAATGTGTCAACAACAAAAGCACACTGCCTACAAGCCAACCCAGGCAGCACACAGGTAAAGGTGGAGCTCAGGTTTGAGCCCACAACCTCAATATAAAAATCATATAAAAATATATATTTCAGCTGATATCTAAGAATTTATTTTCACTGAGACTGCTGCCAATTTGCTGCATTTGTGAACTAATTACTTCTGTTTCGACCTTCAGCCCACATTTGCCACTGATATGAGAAACTACAGCTACATGTGCAGTGAATACAGTGCAATCACTCAGTTACACTAACAGCATCAGTGAAGACACAAGTACAGACCCACTGTCTCTGTCCTGAGCAGCATCATTAAGTGACTGACAGGGAGACGCACTGACTGTCAGGGACTGAAACAAACCTGTTGCACCGGAATAAGAAGGCAACTGCTCCAGATTTATATATGTTGTAATGTTAATACACACATTATCACTGGGTTTATTTAAAAATCAAATATATTAATCATTAGAAATAACCTGACCTATATTGGCTAGTGGAAAAATACATTAAAAGTCATTTGAATGTTTACACATACCTTTAAATTAACAGTAACATACAGTTTGGTGCACTGAAAGTACTTTCCAATGTGCATGGCTCACTATCTAAACGCACCTCTGCTCTTATTCTACTCTAGAATATTAAGTGAATGGAGGGAAACACATAAACGCCCTCACCGGTAAAAGTGGAGGGGGGAACAAAATCCCAACTCTTCCAAACAGAATCAGAGTTTCCCTAAAGATCGAGTCCTCAGTTAACAAGTGAGAGGATCCATCCAGCGGGATGAAGCAGCGAGCAGCACCTCTCCTCTCCTCTCCTTGTCGGTCGGTCGGTGGGCAGACTCCGGCACCGAGCAGAGCGCCAAAACGCGGCTGATGGAGCAGGATGAACGAGTGTGTGGGACCACAAGACTCAGAGGAAACGGTCTGCAGCGGGATTCGTGGACGTCCTCTGACGGATTTTTTTTTTTTTTTTTTTTTTCTTACATCCTGACTCCTTTGTTTCCCTGTCAGTGTTTGAAAAGTGAAACGTGATGGAGAGGAGCGGCGCGCTTCCCCTTTTTCTCCAGCACAAAGTACAATGTGCGTCTCTCCTCTCACTGTGCCAGCTCTGCGTGATCAGCCCTCCTTCCCTCTGCCTCACTTTACCATCATATGTGACAGACTCACCCTGTCACTTTGACTGCAGTCAGTACAGTGCTGCTGCATTACTCAAGCATTAAATACCATTGTATTGTAATAGTGATGACGGGGGATTAAAAAAAAGTCACTATAGTGCACCTATTATGGTGAGTTAACCAAAATGCTGCCATTGCAGTTGCAGCAGATACCGCCCTGACTTGTAAACTAATGTATAATATGAACACTTTATTACTCATACAATATTATTAGCATGTTCCAGAAGAGGTTTAACATGGACGGATTAAACTTTTTGAGGGGCCTGGGGCAAAAATGAGCTCCTGGGCCCCGATAACCCCCCAATCCTCCTACAACATACAATTTTTTAAATGCTAGAATACCATACTTAGGCTGCCCCCGACTAAGGGTGCTTTCAGACCTAGAGTCCAGACGCTTTTGTCCGAATCAAGGATTATTTTTGTTATCAAGTTGTATAACTGCCTAGAGTTGGTTCACATTCTAACGGCAACATTTACAAGCAGACCAGATAAAATGCCTTGTGCGAGAAAGCTGCTCTTGACTGGTCAGAGATTCCATGGGGGAAAAATCCAGGAAGTAAAGAAAACGTTGAAGAAGAGTACACTTGCAAGATAAATGTGACACTTTCTAATGTCACAATGGAGGGACAACTACGCAGGTTGATTTTAGCGCTGCTCATCGTGGACTATATTGCTGTCATTGTTCATTTTAGTCAAACCATACAGTTTGAAAAAGAGGCGCGGCTCCAACTAGAAAACAATGTTTTGATGCGCTGGATGAGCTGAATGCACGGAATGTGCTGCAGTTGGTTCGGATCGAGGTCGGAACATGTTCTCACCACAAAGGAACCGCACCAGAGTTTGTTTGCAACTGGACTGAGACCACCTCTTCAAGAACGTCTCGGTACGGTTGTTTTGGTGTGCACCTGAGTGCGATTGATGTGTTCACACCTGCCCAAACGAACCGCACTTACGGGGGCAAAAGAACTTGAGTTCAATTGAACCAAACCAAACAGGGCAGGTGTGAAAGCACCCTAAGAATTTTCCTAGTTGACCAATAGTCATCATTTAGGGCCATTAGTCGACTACTCACCTGCATGTTTACGATGTTAATTTAATTATTAAATGATATATTTTGGGCGGGGCAACACAATGGTTTGAGTTGAAGGTGTGAGAAAGAATAGTATCAGTAACATTGTTAACACTGTGCTACATTACAGAGAAATACCAAACCGTACTAATGAACCTTCATTAATATAGGCCTATATTTTATCTACAAGTGCACGTCACACACTGAGCGAGCCGCCTGTTAATGACGCTGTAGGCAAAGCAGTAATGATTGTGCTAAGTGGCTAATGGGCATGTAGCTACTTCCATGTTTCAGATGATACGTCATGTTTGTAGTCGACCAGTGAAGATGAGTTTACATAGTCTGGGGCCGTTTAGTGGCCGTTTTGGTAAGGAACCGGAACCAGGGCAAGAGAGACAGGATCCGGAATTCGACGGATGCGCCTTTCCGTCAAAATAAAAGCACCAAGCTAATAAAAATGCGGTGAAACTTTTTAATTTAAAGAATATAATTTACAAGAAAGGCCCAAGCCATTAAGTTAATCGATTTTCTTACACCCCTCATCACTCCAAATTGATGGTGTGCCAGAATTTAAAGTTTTACTTTGATGAACACTTTTGAATAGAAGCCAGGCTCTTCGCCGTATGTGAAGAGCCTGGTGACACAAGGCTAGAGTTTACGTATCACCTTGGGTTCGTCCTTCACCTTCTCAAAATGATCCCACACTTTGGATTTCCTGCCCGACATGTTATTAAGTAGCCTGTGGAATAACTGCAGGTACCAACCCTGGAAATTAACGTGACTTATGTCTGACTGCTGAGCGTGGCCTCTTCCTGTGTCTGTCCTTGTCCTTCCTCTGATCAGAATAGTCACTCTTATGACTCTAACTCACATTGGGCTCTGTTCTATAGTGAATTAAGTAGTGAAAACACAGTAAACGATTCCCAATTTTTCCGGAGACCCCTGGAACTACTTCAAGGACCCCTGGGGATTACCAGACTCCTGATTAAGAACCACTGGGTTAGAACCCTGATTATAAGTCAAGCTCTGCTTTTCATCTACATAGATTTGTTTTCACAGTCTGCACATGTTCATGTCTTACAAGAGAAACGTTAAAATACATGCAATACATACTCCAGATGTACACATACACACTCATTCACAAGTACACACGCTCACATATCCACGCATAGAATTCATTGGGGTATTTTATGAAGGCTGATGTAGCAGAAGAGATGAAACAGGTCTTCCTCCATTTTTAAAGTCCTGTATCTGAGGCCAGACTGAAGTAATGTGAAGTGTGGATTGAGTGGGTAATGAGTGTCTCTTGCTACTGTGTGTGCCCTGTGTGATGGCTCTGTTGTTGAGGTCTGAGAGGTCAGGTGCAGGGAGGCTAATGGTTTTGAAGGCCATTCAAAAACAATTTTCACAGTTGTGAAAATGTAAATGTCTTTTCCTTGAGTATATTACAACCAACATTGCAGTTGTTGTTGGTTGGGGGGCAAGCCGCACACAGAGATATGCGTTCATCAACCACTCGACTCAACATGCAAACCACTGTTAACTGTATTACAGAAGCACAATAGACAGGCACAAGAACAGAGTGCTAAGACGCTCTCCAGGTGCATGACATGATTTTGCCAAGTAGGACATGCAGGGCATCATTGCTATGTTGATGTCGACATAAACAAATTATCCAGTATCAGTGCGATAATGATGATGATGGCTCTGGATATTCCTAACCAAATCTATCTGGGCTCAACATGGAAAAAAGGAAGGAAATGTTAATGAACAATATTCTAGTTTATTGGCAAGATTACTTGTTATCATAGCCAACCTAGTTAGCAAGCTAACACTAACACAAAAACAAGGGTTTTGTTTAGTAGTTACTGAGGATTACTTGTTCAATTGTGTTAAGTTCAATGTGGAAAACTAGCTTAGCTCTGAAGACGCACAAAGCAAATTTAAAAAAAGTGCAGGAGCAGCACACTGGTGATGTCAGAGGGCTGTGATTGGTTGATTGCAACCTTTGTCCAGGAACGCAATGAGGCATGTTGATCCAGGAGCATGTCCTTCTTGGCAAAATCCCGTCAAGCCTCTCAAAGGTGTGTTTGTGTGTGTGTTTAAGAAAGTGAGTGACAGAGAGAGGGGAGGAGGAAGTGGAAGGTGGACTATTGTTGCACACTTGTTTCTGTAAGTAATTAATAACTTATTACCAGTAAAGCAGCCCAGTGGATGTGAGCAGATATAACATCCACTGGCAATGGCATCGTCCATGGGCCTAGCCCTAACACAAGTCTCCCTTTTTCAACCATAAGACTCAGAAATAATATGTGGTTTTGTATTTAGACAATGAGAATAAAACAGAAATAAGGTCTGTCTTAAAACTAAGTCTCAACACATCAAAGTCAGGTAATAAAGCAAGGCCAACATCAAGGCCCTTTTCATTTCATTCATCATACTTGGGTGGTGCATACTCAGAAAATCTTTAGCTGAATTAGTACAAACCAGTTTCTACAGGCAGTCACCTACTCTTCCTGATTGGAAGTCCATCTTTGGGTTTAATCTTTCTGTGCACTGCAGCATAATAAAGATGAGTAATAGCTGGGTCAACACATTCTCACTCCAACCTTGTCACATATCGACATTTGGTCATGGACCTTCCACATCCAGATACGATGTGCAAGGTACCCTGGGAGCGTTGGTTGTTGACCTTCAGGGATGCTGTGTCAAGTTCTGCCTGTTACATGCATTGTCTTCTTTCAAAATATACCTCCATTTTCACAGCAAATTTAACATTTACATACAGTCTCTTTCAAAATAAAAGCACTACATGAGTACAACAACACGAATTGACATTATTTTTCCTCCAACAATAAATACATGTGGTTAGGTTTAGCAAAAAAGAACAGGGTTTGGTTTTAGAATCTTACAGGACGCGAACACCGCTCTCCCAGGTGAGGGCCGTGTTTGTTGAACCCATTCACCATGCATCACGCCCCTCCTCAGGCTTTCGCTGTCTAAACTTTTGATCTTGTAATGCAGCGTTTTCCCCTGACGCCACCAAGTGCTGTTAAACTATACCGGCAAGTGGCCGTGTATCATGCCGACGTTAAAGGACAGCTTTTTTGTCAGTGTCTGACGTCGCAAATCACTGACCAAGCGCCGGATTTCGATGACTTCGGAGTGAGACTGGGTTGTAAGAGGATGTAGGCAAACTCCTACTAAGTATTGCACAGTTTCCATTTTTCATGACATTACCCTCACTTTAATCTTTGTTGTTAATTGGTAACCACTAATAAATACAACAATTCGTAAAGGGGCAAGTAAAAATTGACTGGGCAAGAAGATTTCTGACCCATTAGCCCAACCAGGCAAGTGAAAAAGAACATTATTGTTGTTGTTGTTGTTGTTGTTGTTGTTGTTGTCGTTGTATCTTCTAGTCCAATATGGTTTTCAGCTTTGAAATAGACTCTTTCAGCATCTGGGTTTCATCAGTGTCTGACGCCGCAAGTCACTGCCCAAGCGCTGGATTTTGATGACTTCAGGGTTGGCTGGGTATGTTTTTGAAAATTGCATGACACCACCCGTTAAAATTCCATTGGATTTATGTGATTTAGGTATTTTCTTGCAAGTTTAAGAATTACAGAACCATATAAGTTTATTTGGAAACTTAATACATTCATATCAACTTTTCCAGGGTTTGAGCTATACTGCAATATTCCAATTATTAAGAGATACTTCTCCGACTTTTTTGTATCAACAACTGGCCCCAAAGTCTGTTATACAAGAGTTAAGTATTAGTATTAAACCAGTACTAAAAAACTCCATCCACCATCATTTTTCTCAAACAAGCCTTCATCATCAAACTGTG